ACATTCATTTTAAATAGGGTTCACTAGTGTGGAATCGGTTTATTATTCTGTTAGGAGTAATGTAGGAATTTTTCCTTTGCGAGGATCAGTAGGTTCTGCACTCCAGTTAGCATTTTGTTTTTTCATACTCAAAATGAGTTTTCCACGAGCTTCTTGGGACGTCTGGTGTATCGTCTGAGCGGGGTGCTCAGTCGTATTGATGAAATGTCAGGGCGGCAATACCGCCAGCAATTTGATGGCAAAGGTTGGCCAATATTGTTATACTACTATGTGAGTGACACTGTTAAGCTTAAGTATCCCAAGGATCAGAAGTTGCTGCAGTGCAGCATCCTTAGCATGTGGTATAATGCTTGTGTTGGCATACTAATTTTGGATCGGTTTCAGATGATGGGGTCATTTTATGGGAACGATAGCCTGAGAGCATCTGTCCCTCAAGGAGATATTCTAATTTTAGGCAGACTTCGTTTGAAAGACGTCTATTTCTGTACCTATCGAGTCGTCGACACTCTGAAGTTTGCTATGTATGAGAATGATAATTTTGTGAGGTTTAACGACACTGCTAGTGGGATCCACTGCTACCTTGCAGTGCTATTACCTAGAACAGGTTTTTGCAAAATTTCCTAGGAAACGCAAAACCTCCGTAGTGCGAAAGGCAAGGCAGATGGCCTATCTATGGCCTATACATGATCGAGTTCAGAAGAGGAGTATGAAGTAACTAATCAGTTTAGGACCATGTCGCTGACAAACAATCTGCAACATGCCAAAACTATGTCATCTTGATGCCGAAGTAGCTGATAAAGTAATTATGATAGCTCCAGTATCGTGAGGCATAGGAGTCCTTGAAGTTCTACAAACGGCTGTAGTGACGGTTGCGCCTTTGTATAGTTTCAGCAAACGATGCACCAAAGCAGTCCACACATGTACAGCGGCAGCGAATCGCGAGGAGCCGGGGAAGGCAGCGTCGCAAACGAGGGTATTGGAAGTGGTTACACAATGAGTCTAGTTGACAAACTGAACACCATGTCACGGGTCCGAAGACGACGGCAGGAGGCTGAGGCACTCGCTTCTGAGGCGCGCCAGGCCATGGAGGATCCCCTCATGCCCATTACTCCCGAAATTGGACCCGTCGGTTATCAACTATCCGAAGGCGATGAGTGCTCCATGCTGGAGCCTCACTCCAAGGTTCGTTAGGACTTTTACGTTCGCTATCTCATCTTTAAAATGTGTTTTAACTTAAAGTTTCTGCTTCTTTTCACCCTCCCACAATTTCTGTTATTGTCCACGACGCTTGATGTCGCTAAGAGTGGTGTGGTTGTACACTGTACGCCATGATACCAATTATCTTCTCTAGGCTTTGCATCTCTTGGTTCATATTTTAGGAACAGCCACCTGTGAAAGAGCTAATACAGACATTGATTGAATGGATCAACAAGGAATTGATTGACGAGAGAATTCTCGTTAGGGACATTGAAGCCGATCTTTATGATGGACAGGTTTTGCAGAAACTCCTTGAAAAACTCACCAGTTCTTCCCTTAACCAACCTGAACTCACCCAGACGGAAATGGGACAACGTCAAAGACTCAAGGTATAATTGACCATACGCTCAACAAACCGCGTCCAACTTCCTACTGCATTAGCGCTTCAGTAAGAATGTTTAATTGGTAAACGACTCTGAAACATAGTAGTGCAAATTAAAGCAAACCTGTTCCATAGACATAAGATCCCTACCCTATTATTGCACACGTAAAAAACTCTTCTATCACCACAGCCCATCCTCATTCCCTTGTTATGGGGAAGGAAGGTTTCACTTACCTTTCCCATTATTAAGCTGACGTGTTGGTCTCGATTTTAGCTTGTTCTTGAGGAAATTAATAACGTGTTAGGAGTACCGGATAGCTATGCTTCAAAGAACTGGCCTATCACAGCGATCTTCTCAAAGGACTTGGTGGCCATTCTGCGTCTGCTGGTGGCTTTGGCTCGACGCTTCGCACCCGATGTCCGCTTGCCCTCTGGATGCCAACTCACTCTGGTCATTGTACGTAAACTCAACGGCGTTCTCCAACATCGTAGACAGGTAGAGGTCATCACTGAAGCCGCAGACGCCAGGGGTAGGGAGCTACGTCCTTTCATTTTACATTCACGCTACTTATTATTTTTGCTTAGCCAAGTGCGGAGGCGTATCCGCCATCAAATATTTACCTATCTCAAACGGCATCAGATTACGTGTTCCTGGAACACCAGACCTGACTTGTTCACACATTTACAGGTATTTCGCCCACAAAAATGATTACGAAACGCCCCCTTCCTATGGAATGAAGTTAACAATGACATACCTGATTTCCTTTCTTCATGATGCAAGTTTTGGAAATTGATTGTCAGTACTAAAGCGGAAATAACCAACCCAAATTTTCGCCAATTTAGACGCATCGATGGAGCGCGATGCAATTAGTGCTTTAGTGGACTGTGCAGTACCTGAGAAACTGGGAGCGTTTCAGCGCGTTCTTCTGGATTTCGTCAATCAACACCTTGGAAAACTCAACATAGTCGTCAACGATTTGCAGAAACAGGTTTGTATACCGACGCCGCGATTTTGGAGTGAAATATTTGCTCTGCATCACTTCCCTCCTGTGGGTCCAATTATGCGTTAAATTCATTTAGCATTTATAATACAGGCTGTTATTTCAAGGTATTAGAGCCTGGACGTCAATCAATCAAAGAAACAGTTTACACCTACTCACTTTACTAACTCAGGCTAAAGATGATTGAGAGCACTGCAAATATATACTTCTGGAGGGTGAAAGCTAGGTTGGTTCAGTAACAGTATTTGTTCATTGATAAACTATTCGAATTTATTCTCATTTAAGCTTAGAATCAAAGTAACGAAGGTGGAGATGTTCAGCCGCCCAACGGCCCTAAGTGACACATTCGTAGAGATGATGGGGTACAAAGGTGTCTACAAGTGAAAAGAATGCGATTATCAGATGTATGCGATTCTTGTAGCATAAATATAGCCCAGACTAATTCCCTGCATATGCTCAGATGGACGACGGAGTGTACTTCCTTCTGTTGATGGGATTGCTGGGTGGTTACTTCATTCCATTGCACAATTTCAACTTAACACCGCGCACCAACGAGCAAAAGCTGGCGAATCTGAATTTGGTACTACAGCTGTTGCAGGAAGCCGAGGGCATCGAACCCGGTTCGAACACACGCGCCGACGACTTGCTGCAATGCGACCTTAAGGCCACGCTGCGCTTCCTCTACGCCCTCTACTCACGCTATAAAGACATGGAGTAGCCTACATTAGAACTACTCTTTCCGCTTCTATTTCTGTCATTCTGCCTTTTCGTCTCCCCACCTGCCTTATGCATTTAACATACATCTTCCAACTTTCCAAATTTCATCATAATCATAAACATCATTATTATCGAATAGTAGCATAACCTCACAGTTTTAATGAGATTTATAAATATTTGACTTACTCGACAAGTGGATACAAAAGCTATTTGGAGGGGGGAGAAATAGCACGGCCAAAACGCTCAGAAGAAAAGTTCTTTAGGGTGTATGCAGGCTGGTAAGTGATACGCCCTGTCGAGTCGATGGATCGCAGCTCAGGGTTGGGGTGCGTGTCCTCCATGCCGCCCAACGATGTGTATCTGGAGCACCCAGCATATCTTATCAATACTAGTTACTCTTTCCTTAAATTAGATCAATGACAATAAGTTTATGTTTCTGGCGGCGATAGAGACTGCATTAAGGCACCACGTAAGGTGGGTTTTTTTTAAACATTGACCAGGATCTGCATCGAATGGAATTATTGAACGCCTAAATGGGGGTACGTGTGTGGGAAAGTGCTTCATACGGGAGCCCATTGACGACCACAAGCAGGTAACGCTAGAAATGGCACCAGGTACGCGGCAAGGAGCGAACATTCACCACACACTCATTAAAATAAACAGATATGGACAGCTATAGGTGTAATAACACTGCTAACAATGCACGTCAAAATTCCAGAAGCAAAAATACAGACTTGTGAAACAAAGTTTTTGCGCACTGAATTCGGATGTTCGAATAATTTGTACGCCAACTTTAAAAGGCTTAGTTACCAAAAATGAAATTAAACCTATCAAAGACCTTTAGTTTCAAGGAGCTAATCGACTTTTATGATGTTTTTGATGCGAATCGCCTAAATTAGTTCCATGAGGGCATGTTCGCGCATGCGTAATTGAAGAATTCTAGCTTCATATAAGTAGACACCGAGGAGCTATTTTCCGGCTCACCCAATATCATAGAGACTGCAATAAGGAAGACTGAGGCTTCGAATGAATCTCCATACGTCAGCATAGTTCCATTGCAAAATGGGATGAACGCGAATGAACTCCGGCCACCCGGGGTCTGTCGGCATCACCTCCACTACCCCGTCTACATAATACAAGAGGACTATCAATCATGAGTAACAATGTCGAGTGCAGTTCAACGAAACGAGCACCAAGCCTTTGCAAGAGACCAAAAAAATACTATTTACTAGGAAACAAGACGCCTCGATTTAACACGGTGTTTCCACAATTTACTACTCAAGTATTTTAGCGATGACTAAAAAGTCAAAAGACAGAAATTAAAAGCAAAGTTTAAAGGGAGCATTTACGAGATAGATTTACGCCCCTGTCTAATTGCCACTCTCTAGCGAAGCACCATCCACTTGGCTCACTATAGTCAGGCTCTTAATCAAGTGACCTCGTTGATTGTCCCCAAAGTTTTGTGATCAATAAGTCACTAAGCCTGACCTTACTTATATAAAATAAAAAAAAAATACATTTGGAAAAATTGGAAACCCAGTTTCCGAAGCTGTGTTATAAATAAAAACGTAAGTAATGACTAGGCTGTAACAACCGTTGGATCATTTTCAGTGTGAAAATGCTGAGACGCCCAAATTTTTTGGATTCAATGTGCGCACAAAAGTCGACTTCATACCATGCATTTAACCCTGATGCTACAACACCTATATGGTAGAGGCGCAAATACACTCACCTAAGAGCCGTATTATAAGGTTCAACATTGGATCATAAAAAGATGAAGAGCGCTCTCTGAAGAAGATGCCTACCTGTCCACGGATCGGCGAATCGAGTTCCGATGAATACAGCCTTCAGGTTGGGCGAGTCCTGTTTCAGCCACACAAGGCCCTCCTTTATGGTTCCATCGTAGATTATCAGGTTAGACGGTGATCTTGTTTTAGCGTTAGCATTGGTTCGATCTATGTGGACGATATTGGGGGACTGATACTTGTAAAAGACCAGCACGGATTGAACAAATGTCTCCACCTCAGGGAAGGGAGTTTGTGCTCGGACGTAAAAGAGGTGGGGGTGTTTGAGTGTTCCCACTGAACCAGTAGCCATGTTTAGCACAGCAAAGAGCAGGTGAAGAACGACGGTACAATCCTTGCCTCCATTGAAGCTGAGAATGATATCCTCAGTTCTAATAAAAAGCATCATAATCTTCCTTACCAGTCAAAGTAAGCTGGGTCAAGCCATTAACAATGTTTCCTCACCCATACTCTTGGATTGCCTTCTCAATCAAAGTTACTGAGTGTTTTAGTTTTCGACCGAAATCAGAATCCTCTTCTGCCATCTCATACACGGATTTCGTTGCATTAGATACGGGATCTGGGTCGTAGCTAACCAACTCTACAAAACAACTATTTTTTTGATGCCAATTCAAATAAAAAAAGAGCGTATAGACACAGTGATAACTGTAAGGAGCACCCACCATTTCCTAGTAGCTTCTCCAATGCGGATTGGGCAATTTCAAGAGATCTTTTGTCCTGAGATTCGAGAGAAATGCGAACTTTGTAATACCTTTAACAAATAGTTGCGTTTTAAGTAACTGATAATGAGGACGAGCATTTGACGTAACCTTTAGTAGACGGTTAAATTCAATGGCCACTGGCAGGCCCCAAAATTTTTAGTTATATTAAATGATGT